GATGGGGCAGCGTTTTCTGTTTCTTTGTGGGTTTTGGTTTGGTTTGGTTTGGTTTTGGGGAGTTTTTGTTTGTTTGTTTGGTTTGGTTTTTTACAGGAAAGAAAACCCAATGTATTCCTTTTTTTTCATCTGACTGTCAACAGGCAGCACCAAGGCGAAAAAGGCATGGTGCAGAAGAAATCCTGCAAGGCTTAAGGCCTTAAGGCATAGGAACATGAACATCATACCTTCTGAACAGCAGAGACTGCTTTCATTGTCCATTACTCAGCCCAAGTATGAGAACACTCACAGTGGTGCTCCGAACACCAGAACATTAAGTCCTTCAGCTCCTTGCAAGTCTGTTGCTTTGTCTGCTGCGTAAGTCAGGCATATCAGTTCAGAGCAACAAGAAGTCTAAATCTTCCTTTTAGGGAGAAATCTGAAGTGCAAGGGCTTGGACCAGCTCTGCAGCTCTTGCATTCAAGTCAGAATTTTGTCATTTAGGCTGATGTCTCCTAAAAATGGCAAAACCCACTTTCTTGTTCTAGCTTATATTGCTTCTGGGACAGTATTTAGTAGGTTCTCACTAAGCAAGATGACTGTGCTTGGACACATTTGCAGGAGCAGGCCTACAATTAAGAGGTCATCTCATTTGGCACAGTGATGGAAACAGGATGCCACTTTAACCTGCAATACAGAGCCTGTGCTACTGGAGACAGACAGAATGAAAAGACCCCCTGTCTAATGCGTTCACCTATAACGCCAACTCAAGTTATTATTCTCAAGTACATGGCTTGCATAGCTGCAGGCTGTCAGAAGAGAGCACATGTCCATGCTTGCCTAGTGACCAGCACAATGTGACCCAAATGTTAATGGCAGCACCTCTTGCCTTCAAAGTTTTTGCAAAAAGTCTTTGAGTTTCTTCCTTTCTTCCTGTGCCTCTCCAGTAAAGTAAAAGCCTCTCTTTTACAGGAGAGTAAAAGCCTCTCCTTTGGCTCTACAGAAGAAGTGGCAGTCTCAAACTGAAAGGGAACTGGTAACATGACTTGGGAGAGAACAAGAAATCCCTCCTGCATGCTCTAAAAGAAACAACAAGGTCATTTAGATCTCTGGGAATCTAAGGGAG